TAAACGAAGTCGCAACTGGGGGGCTCTTCCTGCCGACCGAACGAACCGAGCATCTCAGAGAGCTCGCTACCAGGACTTGGGCGACCGGGAGCCCGACGAGTCTTCCCGGGCTGGGGAGGTCACCAAGCTCAGAAATCCTCACGCAAAAAAGAGCGCAAAGAGCTCACACCACAAGACGCCAAACAGCCTCCTGAGACTACTACCCTCCTCCGCCTCTCCCTCCCTGGGCTAGTCCAGGGGAGATAGCCCCCGTCGAGGGGGTAACACCGCACAAGTCCGCGCCCTTCCACAGCACTGGGTCTAAATTGAAAAGTACTCAAACGGGAAGACCCTGCGGCAACGCAGGGCGATCAAGCCTCCGGAAACCACACGGGTATGTATGTATGTATGTATGTATGTATGTATGTATGTATGTATGTATGTATGTATGTATGTATGTATGTATGCATGCATGCATTTTCCCTCATCGTGAGCAGGACACGTCTGGGACTGTACTGGAACGAGCAATCCGGGTTGCAACAACTGCACAACGCTCGGACGTGTGTTCCAACCCCAACGAGAAAGTGTGGTACGACGGTATTCACCCCACCAGCGTGAATGGGCACCTACAGGCCCTCGCCTTGCCGTTCCTGGTATCGCAAGGGTGGATCTAGTGCTTATTTAACAAACACGCAAAGTTGGTAACCAGGCCAAAATGGTGGCTTGTGGTGGTACCTTTATTCACCGCGGCCGCATGCTTGACGCGGACTTGGTGGATGAGGTGTCTTTGGGCAGGGTACGTAGAGTACTATTGCTTCTACCGTGTGCTAATGCTAGTGCTAAAAAGTGCGGCGTTTAGTGCTATTGCTTCCGTGTGCTAATGCTAGTGCTAAAAAGTGCGGCGTTTGGGCGGGCACCCTGGACAAGTACATAAAAACTGCTCGGCTCATGCGAGCTGATGATGGCGTGTGTTGATAGAGCAGCAGCAGCAGCAGCAGCAGCAGCAGGCTGCCAGACGCGTTCTGCAACAGCAGACTCCATTATTTGTCTTCGGCAGCCGCCGCAAAGTTCGTGATCCCATCCACATCCCAATTAGAAAGCGATCCAGGCGTTTGTATGGTTTCCTGACAACCGTATTCTGCGTGTGGATGTTTTTTTTTGTCTGCACACGATCGCGAGATATGTTTGAACGTTTGAGCACAGTCTAGCTTAAGCTAGCTGCAGGTCTAAATTGCCGAAATACCAAGCAGGGACAATGCATGGCATATGTACTAAATTCATATGATATTGCACTGCGTTGGTGAAGTTTGTGAATAACGTCGCCCTTGGCATCAATTGGGTTATTATGGCATACTATTGCTGCAAGCGGTGGAACAAGCCCTAAGCAAGTAAGCTAGTCTCAAGAGTTTTGATTCGTTCCAGTCGTGATTATTAGCTGCAATTGCAGAAGCGTTGTTGCGTTGAGCGCGAAGTAGTTATGCATCCACGCCGTTGACAGTTTTTACTCGCGCTGTTGGTTTGCCGGCCTAGCGGGCTTACGGGCCTTCAGTGGCTCATTCAGGCCTCGCACCGTACGGCATGGCATGATTTCTATGTGCTCCATCCCTTTTAGGTACCAAGCAAATAGTAATAAAATCATGTAACAACAAATCGGTGGGAGCTGTGGGCACTACTGTACGACAGTACTACAGCTGCTGGTGGCCACGGATTTCATTTTGCTTTTACCATGCGTGTTTTTTACATGCACGCACGACGAGAAGGACTTAGGGTCTTAGCCGGATTAAAATTGATGGTTACGCCACGGTAGATGCAACGGAAGATAACTATTCTGCCTCAAATCACACATGGCTCAAGCATTATCAGCAGTACTGCCTCTTACACATTTGTGCGAAACTCCTAGGGCGTAGCTTACTAGACCCTAATAGCAATAAAGAGGAGGAAACTGTGCGAAACTACTTGTAACATTACATACAAGGCATGCATGTATACATATAACTAAACATCTAATTAGCTCAGTCGTTCAGCAAAAAAGCTCAGCAAACAAAGGAAAAAAGAAAGAAAAAAATACACGAGTGTGAACGAAAGTGTGAACAGCAGCAGCAGGGGTTAACCCGAAACGTTTAGATGGTATCCAGGCAATCCTGGCGTGAATTCGGAAACTTGCCTGCGCACGCTGCAACCACCAAACATCAAGCCGCGGCAGGAAATGAAGCACTTGGCGTGCTTCAAGTAGCCAGCAGATGGGACCGTCGTTATGTCGTCATCCATCACCAAGAGGACCGATGCGTTGAGATGAAGGTACTTCTGTTCATTTCGTGGTCGCATATAGCACCTCTGCTGGATGCCTGTGCAAGTACGTGCACGTACTTGCGAACGCGTTCCTTACTTGCATTCCTCCATCAACCAGGCGTGTGCAGTCAGGCGTGCGTGTGTGCGTGTACGATGTGTGCGTGGGGGCAACCTATCGAGACCAGGTAGAGTGAACAACACGTACAAGTCGTCAAGAAGTAAGCACGAGCGATGCACAAAAGGAGCTGCCGTGTGGTACGGCACGCACACCGTCTATAAATACGCACTACGGCGCTCTGCCAGCGTCTCGAGAGGCCTGTTCAGCGGCCAGGTACTACACATGCACTCAGAATCAGAATCCCCGCCGTCCGCCAAGGAAGCCCCTTTCGCTCTGAAATTGCGTTAAGTAGTTTCACGAATGCCAAGATCGACATGCCGTCGAGAATTTTGTGTTGTATTCTGGGCATATCACGGGATCTGCATCCGCCGAGCGGTCCTTTTCTATGGCAGTTTTAGTCGTGATGCATTTACACATTTACTCAGGACGAACGCTAATTTGCTGTACACGTATATTAGAATCGTGAAACAGGTAGACATACATGCATACATACAGGACATTTCGCCTACGGCACATATCAAGCCGTCGTTAGTGTTTATGCTGCTGCCCGTTGAATGCCATACACGCACGTCCTGGCACCCGGAGAGTCTGTATGTATGTACCAGCAGCCAGTAATCAAACATTTGCGTATACGCCTGCTGCCTGACATACGTACATACCGGCAAGCAAGGCACACATAACGTCATCACTGACCGGCTCTGTACGTATTTCATGACAAGCACGGCGTGCTCTCTATCTACTACCCGCTGTAGCTTCCTCTTGTTGTGATGGCAGTAGCTATTATGGCAGAAGGTCCAGCTGGCGCATGCGCGGAAGAAAGCCCTTGTTGGTAAACCACTGGTGGAAGCGTGTCTCAGGGTGGACGTTATCTACGTGTATAGAGGGAGGGGCGGGGGAGGGGCGGGTTTGGCGGGGCAGCAGCAGCAGGTAGTGAATGAAGTCGTCACGCAGCGAGCGAGGCCTCCTAGGTCGGGAAAGGATATACAGTTCCAAAGAAACTATAGCCACGCGCGATCTTCTACCTTACATCTGTACTATTATCAAGTGTGCCTGGGAATGAAAAAGGCCTGAAGCAACTCCTTACCGAAAAAGAGATATTCGGTGGGGACGTCGCATGCTGTGGCATTCTCCGGCACTTGGCTCATAGAGCTCGTTGGGTTTAAGAAGCACGGCACTGCGTAGCACACATGTTCAAGAAAGCAAATACATACATACGTTACATACAAAGGATAGGATTTAGGAGCTGGGCGATAGTATGCGTGTATATGTCTGTGTATGTATGTCTAATGTACACATACAAGGATGCGCGCGTGTAAGTAGAATTCACGAGCTAAAGCTAGAGGGTAAAGCCAAGGTATTAATGCACTTAGCGATAGCACCTGGTATACTAAAATGGACGGTCCCTATCTAATACATCAGGGCAGGCTCTATAGACGATCGTGAATTGTACGGATGGCCTTAGCCTCAGCAAGTAACGAAGCTGCTGCTAGCCCCAGAGCCCGATAAAAAGAACAATGCTTAATTGCTTGCGGCCACATTGCCGCGAAAGGCGTTGTTATTGTTAACTTCGGATCCGTCGAGATTCGCGGAGGTCAACCATCTAGCGGCCGCACCGGTCTACGACTGCGGTCGGTCGACGGTAATGATTTTAAGAATAGACTAGATGATATTTTGAATATGCATTATTATTTGCAGCCGCTGCATTCGGTGCATGCATCATGCATGGCCGGCGCGCGTACTTCTATGCTATTCAACTGCGACACCAGGATGACTTTGAGTTTGTCTCATTTGGGTGGGAATCTACTTTGTCACGTTCGCCTCAAGTGCATTGATGCACGGCCAGCTGGCCAGCTGGCTCTACTCTTCGTGAGTCTGCTGGAGCCCACTGTAACCACCACACACAAACACCATGCATCTCATCGTACATACCATCCATGTGCTTGAACGGCGGGTGGATCGATGTAAATCCCGCCTCGATCCAGTTGAAGTCGTCACCACCGAGGTAATGCACGTTGACACCAGCTTTTGCGGCATCAAGTGCGGACTGGAGCGCAGCCACCGCCTTGAGCGTGTACTGGGCGACCATCGCCACCACCTCCTTGACCTACAGGTATGCAGCCAACCGGATGCGCACACGCACGGATATATTCGCGTCCGCTGTCCTTCTGTTGCAAGCAACTCGGTATAGGAACGACGAAAGGATGGATGGATGGATGCATGGATGGATGCATGGAGGCCGACATGCATGCGGTGAACGGATGGAAAGCGATACAAGAGATAGAAGTGGTGGATTTCAGGACACACACATACACACACACACATACACACACACACGCACGCGCGCACCTATAGATTTCAGCATTCGATATTTCAGCACACACACACACACACACGCCTACAGATTAGTCACCTTGGGTTTGAAGGCAGCCGGAACCCCAGGCGAGCCGTGCAGGGGCGCCATGGGTATCAGTACGACATCCTTGACTCCAGGGACGCCAGCCAGGGTTCGTGCCGACACCATACGGCAGTTGATAAGGGACTGGATCAGGGCGGCGACGGCGGTGTCGGAGAGCGCCGAGCCAGCTTCAAGGGCCCGCCGCAGGGCATTCTGCGGTACCGGACGAACGTCATGAAAAACATGATGAAGAGGAGGAGGAGTGAGATGGTGAGATCGCAGGCAGCATCCAGCCAACAGGCGCGGGGGGGAAAGAGCAATAATAATGCTAACAGCCTGCGCATGCAATGTGTAAACCCTTCTAATTCATGATCTTCGGTGTGGCACTTTCGTTTCACGTTTGCCTCGATTTGACGGTCAACCAACATGCAAGCAAAGATGCCAGGCAACAATCGGCAGGCAACAATCGGCAGGCGAACAGCAAACTAAGGCACTGATGCGGAGCTTGTTAGGTATGCATGGCCCAATATACCAATGTGCTGGCCCAGCCACGGCCGCATAATACACCAGCAGCCAACCTGCCCAAACCACCAACTGCCGACCCAGCAATGCGTTGGACAGTCTGTGGCACCCAGACCCGCCCGTTCACATGCACGGACGCACGTTGATGTCGTTCTGACCAATCCACTGTACAGGAATCAGCTTGTCGTACTGGCCAGGCGAAATTGCTCCCGACATAACGTCAGCTACGAAGTTTGTTGTCTGGTTACCCAGGTCCTTCACGAACCTACATCAGGGGCGCCAACAAGTCGTGGGTTAATAGTGCAGATGTGTGTGATGAGTGAGAGGATCGGAGGTGACGGCGCCCTGGAAATCAATGGTTGGTTGGCAATAGACGCTAGATAACGGTAATGCCTCCCACTCTGTAAGAGAAAAAAAGATAACGGTAATGGCTGGATGAATGGTTGGCTGGATTCGTGCATGTTTCATTTAACTTCGGATGGACTCACGGGAGGTAGGTGCTGATGAGGTTGTCCGAGCAGGCAGTAGCCGCGCCGTGGGCGTAGTTGAAAACCTGCAGATTATGCAGCAGGCAGGGCCGGTGGCCAGGTCGCCCTTCATTCCCACAGCCGTGCAACTGGCGATCCATTTCACAGACACTGCCAGCACCAGGTTCCGCCATCCTTTGTGTTTCATATTTGATGCCTTCATGCATGCATACATTCTGTCAGCTGCAGATATATCGATTAGTCGTGGCAGGTAGAGGACGAGGTTCGTGCGTTGGGGGATGCTTTAGCCTGCTGCCGACTCAAAGCACAAGCAGGTGCCTCTGATGGTGATCTCACGGCGGCATGTGCTTATGGTCGTCATGACAATCAACGACTTCTTACAGTAGTTGTAATAGCTGTACATAGGTACTGTGTACTGTATACTTCGCGCGTAATGAATACGTACGAAAGCCCTCTGCCAACGCAGCATCTGTAGAGCCCTGTTCAGCAGTCAGCTACTACAGTAGTGTTCTTTCATTTATTCTGAGCCGCGATAGTGCGTAGTTCTTATTTTGCACGCAAGTATCCAAGGTGGCAATACGTTGTTGTGGATCATGTTTGTATGTAAGTATACAGTTATGCGTGGCCTGTAGGTCAAACACGGTGTTACATACCTGCACCTCGCGCTTCTGCATGACTGCTGGCTGCATGTAGTCCACCCAGTTTGGCCCATCTGTGTACCTGCATGCCGGTATGTGTGAAGGCGCCCATGTTTACACGATTGACATGCAAACGTGCATAACGATAAAGCAACTGGTTGACGTGAGGGATATCGCTGGAGAGGGTAAAGCAAGGGATATACGCCGATGGGACGAACAAAAACATCTCTTTTCTCTCTTTTCTCTCCTCTCTCTCCTCTCCGTCCTCTCCCTCGTCTCCCACCTCTTCCTCTCCCTCGTCTCCCTCCTCTCCCTCGTCCTACTTCGAATACTTTTCTAATTAATCTTGCAGATGCACAGCCCGTTTTCAGTGCTCAACTCCGTACACATATCTTCCTGCAGTTCTCGAATACAAAGTTCATTATTACTGGTTCTTCATAATAATTTCTCCTTTTTCACTTTGCCATATGTTTGGTCGATTTGCGTCGAAAGTACTTTTGTAACCGCCGTATGCTCGGCCACTTCTTCAAACTGCACATCTTTCGGACTTCTGCGCTTTGCATTTTACCATGGTTTCTCTATTATTCAATAACACCGCGCCAAGGCCCCGAACGCAGCGCCTCGTCTTTCGACGTTCCTTCCGGATTGCGCAAAGAGTAATTCCGAGTCTCGGTCCGAGAATGCTCGCCCATTTCATCCAAAATCTAGGTTCTTGCCCACCTTTTAGGGCAACCTTCCCAGCAATGCCGAGCCTCAGCACAAAAAAGAGAATACTTTACATTATAGCAATTCTTCAATAACCGATGAGTGAAAGCCATGAATGCGTGGAAAGAGAGGTTTTCCTAGCCTCCTGCCTAGATACGTAGTCCACAAAACCGTTGCGCTTGTCACCACATGACCGTAAATGGTGATTAGACAGTAAAAGCCGCCATTTTGTCCCACCCCTTAACCAGCCCCGCCGCAGCTAGTTAATGATAACTTACCTGCCGTGCCAGTAGAAGTCCGTGTCGGGGACCTTTGCCGCACGAAAAGTGTTACCTGCAGACGGATTGATGCGCACAGCAGGATGCGCCAACCGTATCACAGCATGCAACACTTCGGTCAATCGAGTTATCATTCCCATCAATCAAGCATCAATGTTCACCAACCATGTCAGCAGAGCCCAAAATTCTCTGCTGTTACGCGTTGAGCGCATAAAGGACGCACAAATGATACATATATGATAACATGTTTCTAGTATTCACCCGTCTTCAGCGTGCGCGATATGCATGCATTAGCTCATGCATGCCCACCAGCAGCAGCCGCTTCAGGTTCTCGCGAACCTGAAGCGGCTGGTAAGTAATTTTACCATTGTTGTAAGTAGAAACATAATGCAGCCTACATGCTAAACTACATGCTAAAACTCCTCAACGCACGCTGGTTTATCATTCCGTGATATGTTCAAAGATACAGGCATGCAGAATGCGATTTGTTACATCGGACCCCGAACGGCATGTCGCTGCTCGGAAAGGACGACGCCTCAGTTATCATTACACTTTTCACCAACATGCGAAACGTAATTGCAAACTTAGGAGAACATGCGAGCAGATTCTTTGCCGGATTTTGGCGACATTCACATTAGCATCATGAATTACTTGCGGGGTTAGTTAGTAAACTGCTGTTACGTCATAAAGCCACATATGTCCAACAGCGGTGAAACCACCATTTTCTTTTTTAGAACTCACCTGTATCGCTTAAGCTATCTCCCAAAATAGCAAGAACATATTTCGTTGGCGGTTTAGGGGCTGCTCGTGCAGCAACCTTGTCGACAGCTGCTGTGGTGAAAACCAGAAGAAGGGCCAAAATGGAAGCTGCTGAAGCCATACTAGCTCCCTAAACGTTGCCAATGATCCCGGTAGTCCGCGCGGGTAGGTGGTCAGCTGTTACACCGTAAGTTCACAGCTGCAAGCCAACTGCTGCTTTGTACAAGTTTGAAGCTGCTGGTGAACGGCTATTACTTGTGGGCCTTGCATGTTCGTACACGGTACGGACCGTCGGGACCATGTGACCACCGCCAGCCGTCGACGAAATTTGAACAACAACGAACCTAAACCTCACGCAGAAACCGCAAATTGTTAGCAACCCTGAAATTAATTCAAGTAATTTAATCTCGATAACATTTTGCTGTTTTAATTTAAGGTCGTTTTTGTCATTTGGTCTCAGCAGCAGGAGCCGAGCGTACAGGTACGTAATGATTAATAGGCGATGCATGGTCCGTCATCTTACCATGTTTAATCGATATAAATATATTTACCAACTGACAAATCTGTTCAACGGGTCGACTGTGCGGCGTCCATTTGCAATTGTGCATAAAGCAGCAGCCCGGGTCAGTCCTTCCCAACACCAACTCGCAAGTTCAGATCAAGCTTAACGGCGGCATGCACCAAGTCGCGAGAACCGCCGAACAGCTCGCGAGAACACCTGCCATTGACTAAACAATGCTTGACATTTAAGAGTTTATTCCAAAAAAATTTTTATTCGTAGCAGCCTCTCACCTTATACAACGACCAGGCGACTTGCCGGGCGAAAGCGTAGATCTGCCTGGATCCGGTGATACAATCGCGATCCAAGGCATCCAAGGCGAAGACGGACCAATGTCTGGTATGTCACGTAATGCCGCTCTATGTCGCATTTGTGGCATCTTACGGACACGGGCTGCGGGCCCCATCGACATTATGCAGCGCGCTGCTGGGCTTCCTCTCTAGTTCATGTGGAACCCCGGAGCCCAGTTCCTATGTCGATGCGAACTGCTCAATAATATACACACTTTATATTCGCTTCATATGCAAGTATGCCAAAAGCGCGAGAAGTTTCCGGATCCGAAACGAGTGGTGTCGATGATTCGACAAGATCAAGGATCAATCTCAGCAATAGTAACCGAAATATTATAAGGGAAATAGAAGGGATTTGCAGCGTGCTAAAGAAGATGCATGAGCAATCCCACATATGAGTTCGTCGATAGGCAGCAGGGAGCGAATGGACATGAAGGGTGCGAGCAACCGTGCAAGCAACTTCCATAGAGAACTGGGCACTTACGGTCTAGGGCTGAGAACAAGCTCTCTGTCTGGTGCCTCTACGACGCCCTGTGCCGCGTTGTACACCGCCGTAGCGAACGCGACTCTGGATTTTCGGCAGAAGCCCATTGCCCATGCATCTGCTTATGTACGTTCTTGACGTAATCTTGTGAGAAACTGATCGGAAATGGGCAAGCAAGGTGTGGAACGCCATGCAACTGTGGCGGCGGCGGACCGACAGTAATTGAATGTTCGCAAATACAAGGCCTTGCTCCGACCAAAGCATTGTCAACGCCCTGCCCTGCCCTGGCCTTTGCATCTTCCTCCCGTCACCAAATAAGCTTATGTGTTGGCCACATGACGGCTGCAGCTCCTGAAAAGGGCAGCCCCATCCAGTGCTTATACTTCGCCATTTGCACTCCCGGTTGCTTCCCATCTGATGGGTACTCCTCTGGCAAGACAGTCAGACGCGTATGGACTGCATGCATGCCATTGCAGCCACACACATTCGCCCCTTGTGGACAGCACGCGCGTCTCCATACTGTTGTATGCAGACGATGTTAGTCTGCTAGCGACGTCAGTAGAGCGAATGTCTGAGTTGCTACATCTTGTGGACTTATTTTGCGAAGCCTTTGGATGCGACCGAATGTCTCAAAGTGTGAAAGGCTTGTTCTTGCATGTGGTGGCACCCAGCAGTCGGAACTTAGCGAGGGATGTCAACAGTTACGGCTATCAGGCCAGGTAACACCTGCCAAAGATAGCGCTCGCTATCTGGGCTTGGTATACGGGCCAGAAAGGCCTTTTAGTGCGTGCCGTCAGCAGTTGTGTGATACAGGTCGGTCCGCTATGTTCTCCTTAAGCGCAAAGCTGAACAAAATGAAGCTGTTTGCCCCCGACGTGCGAATGCGGTGCTTTGCAACCCAAGTCCGAGCAATTCTGTTGTATGGCTGCCAGGCATGGGGCCCTTTTGCGCTGGCAGGGGTCGTGGACAGGGGGGGAAGGCGGCGGGGTAAAGCCAACCTTGCGGAGGGCTTGTTCGAAGCCTGTTTGAAGGATAGCGCAGTCCAGCTGCAGACTTTAATCATGAGGCAGGTAGTGGGGGCGGCACGGCCCTCCCACAGGCTGTTGTATGCGGAGCTGGCTGAGCTCCCCTTATAGTATTACATGGTGAAACAGATCCTCCGTTTCTGGAACCGCCTTCAAAAGCAAGTGGGGTCCATTGCTCATGCAGTTTTACAGCAGGAGATAACCGATGCCCTGACCAACCCGGAACGGGAGGGTTGGGGAGCCGCAATGTTACGACTGTTTTTCTTCTTGGAGTGCAATATTTGGAGTGGAATACTGCAAGAAGTCATGGGGGTAAAGGAGCGTGTTGACTGGTTGTTGAGTAGGCCTCTACCCGAAGGAGCAATGATAATGGCACTAAGAGAGCGTTTGATGAGCGGCTGGGACCATACGCGCCTGACTGTCTTGCCAGAGGAGTACCCATCAGATGGGAAGCAACCTGGAGTGCAAATGGCGAAGTATAAGCACTGGATGGGGCTGCCCTTTTTGGGAGCCGCAGCCGTCATGTGGCCGTCATGTGTGCATAAGCTAATGCAGTTTCGTTTATGTTGCTGGGCTCTGGAGGCAAACAGAGCACGAAGGGGCAAGTACCATGTCCCCAGGGGGCAGCGGTTTTGCCACTGTTATGGTACAAATAGCCGAATCGAGGATGAAAAACACGTGTTATTGGAATGCCCAGCCTATAATGATATTCGTGCTGAAGAGGGATTCGATCATCAACAGAGCATGTTGGAGGCCATGAAATGGGAAGCAGTACGTCTGGCAAGGATGTTGGAACGTATGTGGGCTCACCGAAACTCAGTTACACCTTTTGGACGCTTGTCTGGGCTGATGTGCGGTGTTTCTTGTTCTCCGTGGCTTTTAGGTGTTGAAGTATTGCCCTTGGGCCTTTGGCTCGTATGTGTAGTTTTACAGGTATGGGGTCACGCACCCCCAACCCCCCCCCACACATATTTTTTCCCCCCTGTTTCACACATCGTATAAACGTCCCTGTTGCCTAGTCACACAATGCACAGTCACACAATGCAAACAAATTGTAGCTTAGCCCTGGCCAGGAAAAGGCTACCGCAAGGCTCTGACACTGACATCGAGGCGCTTGCTGCAGACCTGGAGCAGAAGGCGAAGTCCGTGGCGGGAAGCACCGATTCGGTCCTGGGATGCCACCACTTCGACCGGGGCTTCACGTCCTGGATAGGAGACTGGCTGGCCTCGGACATGTCCATCGTGGCTGCACAAAAGGTGTGGGGGAGGGGCTTGGGCTGGGGGGCGTAGGAGGGATGCAAGCGTGAGTGTTGGGGTGGGGGGCCTATCTGGGGATATAAGTTGAGATGCGCCTGATCATGCCCCCCTGAGTACAGGCGGGGTCCCCATTGCCCTCGAGTGACTGGCCCATTTGGCACGGCCCCCGTATTCTGTACCCTACTGCTTGTAGAGCGGTTACATGGCTGCCTCTTCAAGGGTTGCGATGGTGGTTGCCCTCCTCCGGGGAGACGTTCCTGGCCTGGACGGTCTCCTCGCGACAGGGGCCAGTGCCAATGGTGGAAGGAAATGCTGGCCCTCGCGGGGGTCAGTGCAAAGAAGCGGACCCATGGAAGCTGACAGCGTACCTGGTGCAGATGTATGCATGCACTATATACAGCTCGGCCGTTGCATTGACCAACCGATGCTAAATGGGTGTTTCAGTACTAAGACTGGGGTAGAGGCTGTCAGGTGAAGGCACTGCGAAAAGTGGAAGGGGGTCGTTGATTTGGGCTTGTATCCTCTGCATGTGGATCGTGACACCTAAAATGGTGCGTGTGCATAACACGGGAAAACCGGGCACGCGGCTTGGCGTTCTCCAGGCTGTGGTGCTGAAGCAGCTGCTCCACGTAACGCTGCTGCGTGAGCATGATGCTGCGGTTGCGGCGGTCCTGGACGATCTCCATGCCGAGGTAGTAGCGCGCCTCTCCAAGGTCTCGTACTGCGAAGCAACCAGCTATGGCCGCCTTGGCGGCCGCAACCAACTGCAGGTTGTCTGCCGCCACCAGCATGTCGTCAACGTGCATGAGCACATAGATTGAGCCGTCGGACCCATGCTTGACGAATAGCGCGGGGTCGGACAAAGACGGCTCATAGCCTAGTTTGCCCAACTCCGCCGCCAGTTTCTCGCACCAGCAACGTGGGGCTTGCTTGAGGCCATAGACGGACTTTAACAGCCGGCACGCCTGCGTCGGGTCGCCGTTGCTGTAACCTGGTGGCTGTCGCATCCACAGCTCCTCTGCCAGGTCGCCGTTCAAGAAAGCCGTTTTGACGTCCATCTGATGGACCATCATACCCCTGGCCGCTGCCACAGCTAGAAGTGACCGCAGGGAGGCTGCACGCGCGGTGGGCGCAAACAGCTCTCCATAGTCTATGCCCGCTCGCTGTTCAAAGCCCTTCACCACCAAGCGCGACTTATAGCGTACCTCACTGCCAGGCTCCTGTTTGATCTTGTAAACCCAGCGGCAGTCCAGGATGCGTGCACCGGGCGGCGGCGTGCCCAACTCCCATGTCTTGTTGGAAAGCTGCGACAGGATCTCGTCATCCATCGAAGTCTTCCACTTGTCAGCTTGCGGACTCGCCACCGCTTCTTCATAACTGCGCGGCTCCTGCACCGCGCTGTTGCCTCCGCCGTCCGCACAGCCGTCGGGCACGTTAAACTCAGCACAATCAGTGCTACCCGATGCTTTGTTAAGCAGCGGTGGACTACCCAAATCTCCGCCGCCG